CACTGGCCCATTCACCATATGGAGCAATAACTCAAGATAAGTCATAAGAACAAATCATGTAGAACTGTACTGCCTGGCCCACTGCATGCCCTCCATGCAAACCTTCTCCTTCTTAAACCCTAGCATTTTGCCTGAGAATTCTGAAGCAGTTTTGTTAAGGCAGGAGCCTGAACCACCTGCCAACTGCTAACTTTGGAAAATAAAGTCACTTTCCTTCCACTGTACCTCATCCTTGTTATTCAATTTTCCAAGTGGTGACTGGCTGAACCTGCATTTGGCTACACTAATAGGAAGACTGAACATTTACTGGAAAAAAAGGATAAAATTCTTTTGACAAAAATGTTTCGGGTAAAAGTCTTAAAAGGTTCTCTTGTGGATCATTACACAATTTATTTCTACATTGTGGGTAGTTATATTAAGTTGGTAGCTATCTTAAAATTAAATTGAAATCGTTTATCAGTTTATCCTTAGTTAATAAAATATTTCTTTAGAAATTGTTACAAAGTATTTACCAGCAAGCTTTTCCGTCATATCCTGTTTTGCTTTTCCATTTAAAAACTGAGCTTTTGTGCAAAATGGCTGTAGAAGTAAGTAATTGTCTAAAAAAAAAGAACACAAAGACATATGTTTAAAGAGTAATGAGCTCCTAGTTACTTTCCATTACATAACATTGAAAAGAAAAATAATCATTTCTAGGATGCAAATGTGTAACACTTTAAAAATCTACATAATCACTATTTAAAATTTTCTATAAAACTTTAACAGGCCAGGCATGGTCACTAGCACCTGTAATTCCAGCTACTTGGGAGGCTGACGTAAGAGGATCACTTGAGCCCAGGAGTCCAAGGCTGCATTGAGCTATGATTGCACCACTGCACCCCAACCTGGGTGACAGTGACGCTCTGTCTCTCAAAACCAACAAACCAAACAAAATCTTAACAGAGTAATATTCTTAAAGCAAATGAGAACTAAAAATACCTCACACAGTTTTAAAGGAGCTATCATGTGGTATTAAAAAAAAAAAAAAAGACAAAAACAAAAACAAAAAACTGCCTGAATCTCCTAGGCATCTTATTTCAAATAATGGCATAGTTTTATCAAAAAACAGAAAAAGCACCTGGGTGTGGTGGCTCACGCCTGTAATCCCAGCACTTTGGGAGGCCATGGTGGGAAGATCATGAGGTCAGGAGTTTGAGACCACCCTGGCCAACACGGTGAAACTCTGTCTCTATTAAAAATACAAAAATTAGCTGGGTGTGGTGGCATGTGCCTGTAATCCCAGCTACTTGGGAAGCTGAGGCAGGAGAATCACTTGAACCAGGGAGTCAGAGGTTGCAGTGAG